GCCCGAGTACAATCTGTTTTCAGAAGCATTTGTTTTCTTGTGAAACCTACACGGTTCGGTGACCGTTTCTGCCTCATAGCTCCATCTACTGGGACAATTTCTAATCTATTCATGTTCTCACCTCTTTTCCATTTCCATAGCAGCTAAAGTTTATCAGATAATACAGGGGTAAACAGACTGTAACACAGGTGTCCACAGTTTGGAGAATTTTTTTAATAGGTGCATTTCTTGTCTTTGTGCAGTATTCTGTCAAGAATAAAGGCTCCAAATAGAGAAATGTAAGGCACAGATATCCATTTCAATTTTGTTCACGTAGTTCCTAAGTACTTTATCTAAATCAATATAGGAGCCTACCATCTCACAACTTACTTCAAACCTCTCACCATTTCTGAATTACGTTTTCCTTTCTTTCCTAAGTAGCCACTGCTGTAGTATCACAGCCATGGCAGAAAAATATCCGTGCCTGCAATATTTGGTACATTTAAGAAAATATTGTGCCTTTTCATTACAACTATTTTTCCTCCTGTTTGGAGGTTTAAGGTAAGGCCAGAAATATCCATTACAACCATCGAATCTTATCTTCTGAATTGTAATTGGTTCTCCACCTAAATTTATTTAGATAATAATATACAAAATCAGAAGAGAGATCCTGCTATGCTAAACCACTCTAAGATTGTTTGAGTCTTCTTATGCTTTTATTTTGAATTACAGGATGATATGCTACCAATTTATCTTTGTCAGAAGCTCCAGTTTTGTTCAGAGGATTTTATCATTCTAATGTTCGTGTCAATAATGGGACGTGGCAAAAGGGTGAATGTAGAACTAGGAATATCCCTACAATTTGTGTGGATTGAATGGAAGCTATGTATTGGCAAAACAGGGACGCACTGACATCCTGTTACCACCACTGGAGCATCATCAGCTATTCTCTGTGGTGCTCAAGTTGAAAGGACTCTATTTAAGTGAGGCAGGACAAGTTGAAAGCTGTCTGTGATCAGACATCCCTGATACCTTCATATGCTACAACAGTCTTCTGCTTACTCCAGTTCTTACCCTGCTTTCCCAGGACAAAGCCTCCTAGCCTTCTAACCCATGGCTACAGCCACCTTGACTCTACTTATAAGCTTTGGGTGGTCATGCTGGGCTCTTGGTGCCAATAATATGGGGTCAGAGCTCCAGGTGTTGTGTTATACATATATCAGCTGAAATATCTTTGCCTCAACCACCGATTGTGTCAAAATACTTGAATCTGAAGCGTATGTAGTGCTATCCATTCCAAAACATCCTGCCAAATAGCAAATGCTTCTACATTTTGAAGTTTTTTTTCCCTATGGGTAGAGCATAGTTTATTGTGTTTGAGGGTATTATTCTTAAGTAATCTTTTCTCGCTGTTACACCAAATTTTGTGTTTGCTCTTTATGTTGGCAACAATATTTTTTTATTATTATTATTTAGCAATTTGAGTTACACAGATGCAGCTGGTTTAGTTTCCAGGTGAAGAAATCCATAATGCATTACCTGCCTTTAGGAAAAAATGCAGTTGTTGCAATGAGGGGAACTCAGAGACTTCCCAGTTTTGCCAAAGACTTCCTGTGTAACCTTGGGCAAATCACTGAATGCTTGCTTCCTCAGTCTTCCCATGTGCAAAAGAGGGAAAAGAACAATTCCCTATCTTGGAGAGGTTGTGAGACTAAATTCATTAATGCATGTCAGGTGCTTACATACTGCAGTGATGAGCTTCACAGAAAGTAATAAGGAGGACGATTCTCTACTTGCTCCCATGGTATGAACGAGCTATCCTCTTTCCTCCCAGTTGGACAGAGCTTGCCTTTCTGACTGTTTTCTGAAAAATAGAGAAAGTGGCTGAGACACCTACTGGCCGTTGTACCTCACTACTGGGTAGGTGTGGGCTATCCTGCGGGGATTGACATTTAACAGTGCAGTGCCCTGCTGTCGGCATTTTTCAAACTCATAATGAGCAAATATTCAAGGTTGGAGGAGTCTCTAAGTTACTAGTGCTACTGGCTGAAAATAAATATCATGGGCAATTAACTTCCTTTACAAGACAGAATAAAATAGATATTGACTGTTTTTTCATATTTATAAAGGCAAGCAGTTATCCTTTGGGCTGAAAATTATTCAGTGAATAATCATTCATCATTATCCAAAGCCCATCATTGTGGCTAGCTTTTCTATCCATGGGGAAAATGGTTCTTTTTCCTAAAGACCCAAACTCCAATCACTATTTCTGCAACACAAACATGTTGTTCTGATTAGAAAGCTCACTGCCTGGGCATTTCTGTGTAGCCTGCTCTGTTTGAAACCCTGCCTTTTTCTGACTTCACTTCCTGAATCCGTTAACAACACTCACAGCCAAACAAAATACATGTTCACAATGCCGTTATTTGCAAAATATTCCCTTGTGAGTACAGCTGGGGCAACAAAAAGAGAGTTTCTCTCTAAACCTCAAGAACTGAGTGTTCTGCCTATAGGCAAGGAATGGGATGCACCAGGCAATATTTCATCTCAACAGTCAAATATTAAATCCCAGCATTTTACTGCATTAATGCAGGCAAGTCTTTCACTGTTTTGTGCCTGGCTAATTATCTAATTATGCGGGGTTGAAACAACCTAGTGACAGCACTGAAGAGAGTTCACAAAACAGATTGAGTAGGCAGAGGCAGGGTAAAGCTCCTCCATGCGTTCTGCCCAGACCATGCATTTCAAAGCAGACACTGAAAAGGAGGAGAGTAGTACTCACTGTGCCTTATTCCTCCTTCCACCCTTCACCTCATGGTGACAGTGCTGGCAAGAAGGGTAATTAGTACCAGTTAGGATATGGATTTTCTAACATGGGCATCCCTGTACATCCCATATTGTTGAAAGCAGCAACTTATTTCATAGAGGCCAATGAACAACCATCCAAGAGTGCCCACTTTAATTAGCTGCTGTACTAGTAACCAACTTTTTCCTGTGCCTTGAAATGTCATTTGTGCGAGCTGGAACACTTCACGACTACAGTGGTGAATGTATGTTATGGTGACAGGGTGGAGCCATTTGTCGTTCAGCTGCATCTAATTAAAACAATCTTCTAGGAATATGTTTCCAAAAACACAAACAACGCTCAGATGGTTAAGCCAGATCCTTGTTAATAAGGTCTATAGTACAGCACTGTCAAGAGTTAAACCTCTACCTTTGCAGGTAATTAATCTCCTTGCCCTGCTTATTTTGCTAGTTGGCACTTGTCAAAGCCCTGCAAAGCCACACCCCAGCAGTGCTGTGTGTTATCCCTCTGCTGACTATTCCTACATATGGTCAAAATCAACTTACCTTCCGGGTTGCTGACATCAGCAAAATGTACTCTTGGCAAATTACAGTATCCTCCCAGTAACCCTTTGTTTGGTAAGTGTTGTTACAATTTTATGCATTTGACAACAGCAAATAAAACCTAAACATAGTAATCCCAACTCCAGCACATATATTATTAGGGAAGAAATGTTACTATAACTCAAACGTTAAAACAATCTACTCTATGAAATGATTCATATCCCACAATTTATATCATGGGCCAAAAGGATCACTCATCAAAGGGGACTAACTACTACTGTATACTACTATAAAGGAACTACTATCCTGAGAGAAAGCAGTTACAAAAAGTTTCTGGGTATCCAAGTTTTGTTACCAGTTAACATGTGTGTTTATTATGAATGATTTTAACTGACATTTTGTGAAGTACTGTGTTTTCTTACAAGTATTATAACTTTAAAAAGAGGAGACTTTTAAGACTGACTAAACAGAATTATAAAGTAATATATTAATGATTTTTTTATTCTGCCTCTCCCCACAGCATCTGTTACCTCTTAGCTATATGGCTCCAACCCCCCTGCCCCCCAAATACATTTATATAAAACAGATTGTATTGCTAAAATTAATTGGACACAGAATCAGTATGTTGAAATAGTGAATGATAAATATTACTATTTTCCACAAGCATGCGTGGTTTTTTTCTTCAGAACTATTAAGTACCTTGTTTCTCAGTTGTTGCTTATGTTCTTAGTCTATAAATTATTGTACATGCACACTGACAATGACAGGTAAGCTGTTGTCATAATAATGTCTTTTTTGAAAAAGAAGAATCCTCCCTAGATGCCTTGCTTTTTATTTACACCCTGATTTTCAGTGTAGAAATAAAAGGTTTCCTCACTGTTAGCTTTACCCACTTTTCATATGGATAAATAAGTATACAATCAAAAACATCTGAAAGGGAAAGGAAGTAGAGATAGGGAAAGGGTTATAGAATGATTTTATTGTGACAACAGCATTGTCATAAATACTTATGAACAGAGATCACCTTTTATCTAGGAATAGTTAGACCAAAAAAAAAAAAATAATGAGGTGATGAGTTCCATGTGAAGGATACATTTTTTTTAAATCTCCTATTTTAAATATGTTGTTGAGGACACTAGTTTACTAAGAAGCATCTAACATTAAATAGCCAGTTACAGTCCACACTATTTCAGCACAGGACAGTTTGATACAACAGCAGATTCCTCCAACCTGCTTAATTTTTTAAATGTACTGTCCAAACTGCTACTGGATTATGGTAGCCAATCCAGACCACATAAAGGCAATAAATAAAGATGCAAAAACCACATCTGTTTACATTACAGCATTGGTTTTGTATCCCCACTTTGACACATTCCTCAGATGTCTGTTGTTATAGAGTAAGTTTAACATCAGTCTTACCCACTTAGAGTTTGGGATACAGGATACTGTCCTGATCTAGGTACTGGGGAGGGGGAGAAAGGAGGGGAAATGCATTTTTAAAAACAAGTTCTTAAAGGATAAACAGAACTTTTCTGGGATTCTTTTCCAGAAGCAAAAAGCATAAAAGAAAATTATACTTTTATTACAAACTGCAAACTCAGGGTGCTTGGGGAAGAAACTCTGTCTTATTAACAAAACAGTACCGGGCAGACCCCAAATAAACAACATAAAAATAACTTACAAAGTCATGAAGTAGTTTATTGACATTAATCAGCTTTCATAAAATAATAATAATAAAAAAAAAGATATGTACATACACAAATTTAAGTGAAGGCAGGCAGTATAGTTCATTTTTTTTTTTTTTTTTTTTTTTTTTGGCCCCCCCCAAACCCCCCCCCCCCTTTTTTTTTTTTTTTTCTTCCTTTAAAGAGAGTACTACAGAAAGCAAACTACAGTCTCTATTGCAGTTTAACCTTTAATACTGAATGATCGTCGAATGTTAGGTCCATGCAGGTCTTGGTCAGTGTTAAAACAAGAGATCTGAAGTCTCCTCGGAGCAGGCACAGCACTTCTCAGAGCAGTGCTGCTGGCTGCTTCACCCACTCGCTCGGACTGAAGGCTTGCCAGTCTTTCCACACATGCGCTTGGCGGGGCGCAGGCAGGACTCAATGCCTTTCAGCTTTTACCATTAGCTTTACGTGTCTGCCACTTCTGGGGGGTTTGTTTGCTCTACCACAACCTCATTAGTTCTGACTCGAGTCAATCTCTTCAAAACGTTTGCAACTGTTGTGTGAGCATGAGCTGGCACCCACTGTTGACATGGTTCATGACCTTCTGCTTAAGCTGTGCAACCTGTTCTCTGAGCATGTTGGCAGTGGATGCCAGTTCTGAGTTCTGGGCTTTCAAAGTTTTCACTTTTTCTTCCAATCTGGCAATCCTTTCCAGCTTCCTTTTCCGGCACTTGGAGGCGGCAATTCGATTTCTCATGCGCTTCCTTTCAGCCTTGATCCTCTCCTGAGACTCCATGTCAATGGGGGACAGCGGAGGAGTCTCCCCCGGCATTTCAGGGACAGTCTGAGGCTCTTCTTTCAACGCCTGGAGCCTGGGATGCTGCACCGGCATCTGGGGGTTCATGTGATGCTGCGGCGGCGGGGGCGGCGGCGGGTAGCCCATGCTGCCCGGCGTGTAGCCGGGGGCCGAGGTGAGGGCGTTGGGGTTGAAGTTGCTGAGGTTGGCGTACACCGGCGGCTCGCTGTGCAAACTGGCGTTGAACCCGCTGTTGCCAGCCATGGAGGAGACAGGTGCCATGCCGCCGCCGCCAGGTTGGGCGGCCGAGGTGACGCTGGGCACCGTGTTCTGGTTGTGCAGCTCGGCCAGCGCCCGCACGAAGCCCTCGGCAAAGCCCTCCTGCTCGTCCGTCACGTTTTTGGGGCAGAGGAACTGGGTGGGGGTCGGCGTGGTGGTGATGAGCCCGTTGCTGGACTGGATGATGAGGCGCTCCAGCTCGGGCGAGGCCAGCTTGAGCAGCCCCACGTCGGGCGAGGTGAGCAGGTCGGCGCTCTTGTTCCTCAGGTGCGGCTTCAGGGCGCTGGCGGGGTCGGCTAGGTTCAGGGTCATGCTCTGCTTCAGCGCCTTGGGGTTGTTGTATCCGTAGCCCCCGCTCTCGGGCGGGGCG